TCACACTGGATACAACCTCTTCACCGAGTGTGATTTTCCTGATTCCATGAATGCAGTTGTGTTCGCATACTGCGTCAGCCTCATTATACTTTTCAGCAACTTTTACTACCAGAGCTACATAACCAGGAAGAGCAAGAAGTCTTAACAGCGTTGGTCCACATGATGAGCAGAGGACTCACCCGTCCTTTGATAGACTAATTTGTCCATTGCTGTTCTCATTGTAGTCCTGCCTCAGCTATGTTTAGTCATCAGGACTGAAAATTTGGTGAAACCATTTACCCCATATCTAATTTGGTTTGTAAATGACTTATCCAATAAAGATGTGACATCTCTTATTATTCCTTTTTGCACTTTGGAACATCAACCGAAATAAATTGAACTGTAATTTCATTTGAAATAAGATGGAACATTATCGTTTTGCATGGTTAAAACAGCTTTGTACTGTCTTATAAATTGTGTGTTTCTATTAACAACAGTGAAGTGCACTAGATGGCACTATTTACGTATCTTTACCGCAGCTGCCTCAGACGATGTTCTCGCGCAAATTCTCGCGATAATTAGCAAAGTCGAAGGCACCCAGAAATGGGTAAGCATTTCGTAATTACCTCAATAACGCAGGTCTTTCTTCAGCCTTTGCGACACTTTATGAACCCTAAATTTACAATCACAGTATAGACATAATATATATTAAGTGTTTGATATGTGAATAAACAGCTTATGACTGGCATGATTGCGTTACTGCGTATCCCTGAAGTAAGCTGTATTTAGTCAAGAGCTCTTCAGGTTTTAGTTTTGCACTACAAACACAGTCGTCAAAATCACATATTTATTAACTGAACCATATACTCAAATCAAGCTGCGCGCTTATTTCCTGCAAATACAGCAGACCATTATTTCTTTTTAGGCATTAAAAGTAATGACATTTGGCGTAGGTGCATGTAATTGACCATTTCCGATGTAATGTCAGTTCCTTTGTATGTGTTTTTCATATCTGTTCTCTTCAGGTATCTCCAGGGATCACTGGCACAAGCGTCGTAAAACAGGAGGGAAAAGGAAACCCTACCATAAGAAAAGGAAGTATGAACTGGGTCGCCCTCCTGCCAACACAAAGGTGCGAGACTTTGGTTGACCAGCGTCTAAAAATAAGCATCAGTATATGTGTGTCATTTCCTAAGAGACGCAGGCTACATTGTGGTTTAATATAATATGTTGTTAATTAAGCTACATAAAGAATACATGAAAATGTATAGAAATTTAAATGAACAAAAATAAATAATTGTAATAATTATTTGTAAACTTTTAGATCGGTCCCCGTCGTATTCACACAGTGCGCGTGCGGGGAGGCAATAAGAAATACCGCGCGCTGAGACTGGACAGTGGGAACTTCGCCTGGGGCTCAGAGTGTAAGTGCACATCTCTGCTCATAACAACACTTCTTTCTTTCTTTCTTTCTTTCGCTTTTTCTTCTGCTCCTCCTCCTCTTATTCCAGCTCCAAAAGCAATTGATTACATTTCTCATTGACCTAACACTTATACAATCTTATGCTAGCGAGTCATTGCGACATTTGCATACTAAATTACTGCGATTCATTACATAAAACCTTGTAAGCCCTTCATTTGTTACCTTATTTATTAATGTAGTTAACAATTTCTTTATTTGGTCATTTTTAAATTCATCTCGTTTGTAAGATGAATTTTGTTTGTAGGTTTTAGGACTATCTGACCAGCTCTGTTGAATTTCTTTATTATTGACTTTTTAATCGTGCAGACGTTCATTAAAATGCTAATCATTGTGGTCTACTGAAGGAGTGTCCAAGCAGTCAGTCAAAATTCTTATGTTGCAAACTTACAAATCGGTATATATAACCAATATTTTTATTGGTTGTCAGGACACTGAGTCTGTGTGTCAGTGCATTTAGAAGTATTAAAACCATGAAATGCCTTTAGACTGAGATCATGGAAGTGGTGCCTGGAAATTTTCTCATAAATTTTGTGTGAAGTCTCTGATGTAACACTTCACTATAAAACAAAACAATTTGCTTGAGCAGGGAAAACTGTTGAATTGACCTTTTCTTAAATGTCTGTCTCATGGGTTGCATGGACATATTTCAGTTTTTACGCATGGCATACATCATGCCATGTGAATTATTTCTTCTCTGTGAGCAAATCTAAACATGGCATTGGTGAAATCCCACTCTGCGAGTTCTCTGGGGGGTTTTTTTCTCTCGTTTTTTGGAAATAATTAAAAGTACATGTAATTTTTCACTCTAACTCACAGGTTGCACTCGCAAAACCAGGATCATTGATGTTGTGTACAATGCCTCCAACAATGAGCTTGTGAGAACCAAGACC